TATTTATTTGTTTTTATTTCAAAATATTAATTAAGTGTATACAAGTGTTTTTGTTACATGGATACCTTGTATAATGCTTAAATTGGGGCTCTTGGTATGCCTGTCACCAAAATACAATAGGTTAGTTTTAGCCCGCCCCTCCCCCAATCTTCCCACGTCCTGATTTACAGTGTTCTTTCGAGCACTCTGTGCCCTTGTGTACCTATTGTTTAGCTTCCATTTATTAGTGAGAACATATAGTGTTTGGTTTTCCATTCCTGAGATACTTCACTTAGAATAATGGTCTCTAGTTTCGTCCATCCTAGTGTATGTTGCTGCAAATAATATCATTTAATTTCTTTTTATGGCTGAGTAGTACTCCATGTTATATGTACCACATTTTCTTTATTCATTCATGAATTGATGGGCACTTAGATTGATTATACATCTTTGCAATTGTGAATTGTGCTGCGATAAACAACCAAGAGCAGGTGTCATATTTGTAAAATGATTTCATTTCTTATGGGTAATATCCAGTAGTGGGATTACTAGAGTGAATGGTAAGTTGACATTTAGTTCTTTGAGGGATATCCATACTGTTTTCCATAGAGGTTGTACTAATGTTCAGTCCTACCAATAGTATATAAGCATTATTTCTGTCTGCATCCAGGCCAGCATCTATTGTTTTTTGACTTTTTAATAATGGGCATTTAGATAGAGTTAAGGTGGCATGTCATTATAGTTTTAATTTCCTGATAATTAGTGATGTTTCTTGGCCGTTTGTCTATCTTCTTTCAAAAAACTTTCAAAAGTCTTTGCCTACTTTTTAATGAGGTTATTTGTTTTTTTCTTACTGATTAGTTTGATTTCTTTGTAGTTTCTGGATATTAGTTCCTTTTTGGATGTAGAGTTTGCAAATATTTTCTCCCATTCTGTAGATTATCTATTCATTCTGTTGGTTATTTCCTTTGCTGTGCAAAAGGATTTTTTTTTAATTTAATTAAGTCCCATTTATTTATCTTTCTTGTTGTTGTGTTTACTTTTGCAGTCTTAATCATAAATTCTTTGCCTAGGCCAGTGTCTGGAACAGTTTTTCCTATGGTTTCTTCCAGAATTTTTAGGGTTTCATGCCTTGCATTTGAGTGTTTTAGCCATCTTGAATTAATTTTTGTATATGATGAAAGATAGGGGTCCTTTTTCATTCTTCTGCATGTGGCTATTTAATTTTCCCAGTACCATTTATTGAATAGGACTTCCTTTCCCTAGTGTATGCTGTCTGCTCTAAGGTCTGTTGGTTGTAGCTAGATGGTTTTATTTCTGGGTTCTCTATTCTGTTTCATTCGTTTATGTCCCCACTTTTATGCCAATACTGTTTTGGTTACTGTGGTCTTGTACTATAATTTGAAGTCAGTAATGTAGTGCCTTCAGATTTGTTATTTTTGCTTAAGATTGCCTTGGCTATATGGGCTCTTTTTTGGTTCCAGATGAAATTTAGGATTATGTTTTCCATATCTGTGAAATAAGGCAGTATTGTGATGGGGATTGCATTGAATCTGTAAATCACTTCAGACAGTATGGACATTTGAATGATGTTGATTCTACCAATCCAAGAGGTAGGGATGTTTTTCCATTTGTTTGTGTCATTTGCTATTTCTTTCATCAATGTTTTGTAGTCCACCTTGTATAGATGTTTTACCTCCCTGGTAGAGTATATTTCTAGGTATTTTATTTTCTTTGTAGCTGTTGTGAATAGTGTTGAGTCCTTGAATTGATGTTCTGTTTGACTGTAATTAGTATATAGAAATGCTACTGATTTGTGTACGTTGATTTTATAACCTGAGACTTTGCTAAATGTTATCTATCAATTCCAAGAGTCTTTTGGTAGAGCCTTTAAGGTTGTCTAGATACTGGATCATATCATCAGCAAACAAGGATAGTTTGGCATCCTCTTTCCTGATTTGGATGTGCTTTATTTCTTTCTCTTGCCTGATTGCTCTGGCTACAACTTCCAGTATTATGTTGAGTAGAAGTGGTGACAGTGGGCACCCTTGTCTTGTTCCAGTTCATAGGGGGAATGCTTTAAACTTTTCCCCATTCAGTATGATGTTTGATGTGGGTTTGTCATATATAGCATTTATAATTTTAAGGTACGTTCCTTCTTTACGTAGTTTGTTGAGGGTTTTTGTCATGAACATATACTGGATTTTTAAAATGCTTTTTCTCCATCTGTTGAGATGATTATATGTTCTTTGTTTTTCCTTCTGTTTGTGTGGTGAATAACCTTTGTTGATTTGCATATGTTGAATGATCCTTGCATCCCTGGGATGAAATCCCCTTGATCATGGTGGATTATCTTTTTCATGTACTGTTGAATTTGGTTTGCTAGTATTTTGTTGATGATTTTTGCATCTATGTTCATAAGGGACATTGGTCTGTAATTTTTGTTGTTGTCATTGTTGTGTCCTTTCCTTGCTTTGGATTCAGGGTGATATTGGCTTCATAGAATGACGTAGGGAGGATTCCTTCATTCTCAATGTTATGGAATAGTTATTGTAGGATAGATACCAGTTCTTCTTTGTAGCTCTGATAGAATTCAGCTGTGAATCCAATCTGCTCCATGGCTTTTTTATGTTGAGAGATTTTTTCATCACTGCTTCAATCTTGCTGCTCATTCTTGATCCATTTAGGTTTTCTATTTTTTCCTGATTCAGGCTTGGGAAGTTGTGTGTTTCTAGGAATTTATCCATTTCCTGTAA